TCTTCCAACACCAGCTTCTTAGTATCATCTGAAATGACAGGTAAGGACTGGCCTAGCTTCTTCCACAAACCTTTGCATCTCAAGCTCTGCACACAGCCTCCACTGCCATGGGACGAGTTCAGCAACTCAGGGTGTCCAATGGAACCTGACCATCTTCTATTTCTTTCCGCAGCCTTGACACGCCGCCGCACAGATACGATTATTCTGTGAAGCCAGTGCCATCTTCCAGCATGCAACAATGCGCATGTCCATGTTGATCCCATTGCCTTCAACAATGCTGTCATCTCTAGGAGGACAGCCCCAGCTATTAAGATGTATGTGACAATGGCATCAACTCTGTTGAAGTCATGTTTGACAATGCTTGATTGAAATAGGAAGAAAGTACTGATCGTGGCAGCTGATGACATGGCACGGATGAAGCATCCATACCATGTGAAGACCACCGCTGCCTTGGTATATAGGAAATCATACATCAAGGAGAGCTGCATCTCAACCAATTCAAACATTTGGCCCTTGTTATCGAATAGCTCTACAGCTTTACTCTGAAATTGGGATGGCCAGAACTTATAGTCCACAAACTGAGCCATGCAAATGGGGAGCAAATCATGAGCTCCTTGCAGAACCTCTTCAGGATCCAGCTTTTCCCCTTGGCCCTGCTGTGCATGTTGTTCTCGTTTAGCCTCACTCAACTTCCTGCTGTCCAGGAAACTAATCATGTTCTCCAGGCTGGACGACTTGAGCGCCCATACTCTCTCCCCATACTTGAGAACACCGGCGACAAATATCAGCATCGCGGCTGTGGCCAAGGTCCAGCTGCCAGCGACATACTTGTAGAGGACATAAGCCACTCCCACTGTCTGAACAACAAAAGAGAGCAGGTGGCGCAGCCAGAGCTGGATGTCTTCTATGGAGTAGGCGGTGATGTTGTCCTGGCCACCGAGGTGCACTAGCAAGAATGGCGCCCAGAACGCCATGAGTTGTTGGTGCCCGTGGGACTTTCCATAGAAGGACATGTGGCCGAGGATGTATGTTGTTGGATTTTGTGGATTTCTCTTCTCTAGTCAGGAAGCTAAGGGGGGAAGCTAGGGATTTCTGGAAGAACCTTATCTCCCGATTCATTCCTCCTTGTCTCAGTATATACAAACTACATTTACATTTTAACCCTTCTCACTTTCCTATTTGCAACTAACTCCTCACAACACTCCCCCTCAAGATGGGGTGAAAATGTCTAAGAGCCCCATCTTGCCACACAACTTAAAGAAGGATACAACACTCACGCCCTTTGTTAATACATCAGCAAGTTGGTCTCCAGTTTTAACAAAACCTACTTGAAGTACTCCCTCATCAAGTTTCTCCTTAATAAAATGTCTATCAATTTCGATATGTTTTGTTCTATCATGCTGAACCGGATTGTTGACAATGTTGATTGCGGCTTGATTATCACAATGGAGCCTGAGTGGTCCTCCTTTAAACAACCGAAGTTCAGTTAATAATAATAGAAGCCATAACAACTCACATAGCCCTGAAGCCATGGATCGCAGCTCTGCTTCTGCCGTGGATCTGGCGACAACACTTTGCTTCTTACTCCTCCAACTGACTAAATTTCCTCCCAAGAAGACGCAATAACCTGAAGTGGATCTCCTGTCATCCAAGCACCCAGCCCAATCAGCGTCTGTGTATCCCTCAACTTCTAGATGCCCATGGTTGGAAAGGAGAATTCCTTTTCCAGGACAACCTTTGAGATACCGCAGAATTCTATTTACTGCATCTAGATGACCTGATCGAGGATCATGCATATATCTACTCACCAGGCTCACGGCATATGCAATGTCTGGTCTAGTATGGGATAGATAAATTAAACGTCCCACAAGTCTCTGGTATCTTCCCCTATCAACAGGTTCTCCTGAATTGGCTGTAATACGAAGGTTTGGTTCAATTGGTGTGGCAGCTGGTTTACTTTCAAGCATCCTAGTTTCAGCGAGAAGATCAAGCACATATTTCCTTTGAGAGAGATAGATACCTTGAGCTCCATAAGCTACTTCTATTCCCAGGAAGAAGTGGAGGAAGCCAAGGTCTTTGACTTCAAATGATTTCGCCAACATTTTCTTCAAGTTCTTTATCTCCACATCATCATTCCCTGTGATCACAATGTCATCAACATATACGACCAATACGACAGTTTTATTTCCGTGGTGCTTAAAGAAAAGGGTATGGTCAGCATTGCTTTGTCGAAAACCCAAAGTGCAGACTTCCTTGCGAAATCTCCCAAACCAAGCCCTTGGTGACTGTTTAAGTCCATAAAGTGATTTCTTCAATCTACACACTTTACCCATTGTCTCAGGCCCACTGGACCCTGGTGGAATCTCCATATAAACTTCTTCTTTCAAATCTCCATGAAGAAATGCATTCTTCACATCTAGCTGAAACAACTTCCACTTGTTATTTGCTGCCACCGAGACTAAAGCTCTGATGGTGTTCATCTTTGCAACTGGGGCGAAGGTTTCATCATAGTCCACTCCATATGTCTGGCTATAACCTTTCGCCACAAGTCTCGCCTTATATCTATCTACTTTCCCTTCGGGTGTATGTTTTATGGTAAACACCCATTTGCAACCTACCACTTTCTTGTTACAAGGAAGTGGAGTAATTACCCATGTATTATTCTTGTCGAGAGCAGACATCTCCTCAAGCATTGCTGCCCTCCACTTTGGGTTTAATTTTGCCTCCTGCCAGTCCCGTGGTAAGGGTTCTGCAGAATCCAGCGCTGCAATAAAGGGCTTGTAAGAAGGACCAACAATGTCATAAGAGACATAGTTGGAGACATTATAAGGATCCAATTTAGAGGGCAATTTTCTGGCACTAGCTCGTGGTTGCTTTCTATAAGCTATTGGGACATCAAGGTCATCATATTGAGAAGAGATGTTACCACTGTCCAAGGAAGGTCCAGTATCACTAGTTTGAACTTGAGTATTATCTTGTTGGTCAGCCTCCTTCTCTTGCTCACCATGTTGCCCATAAGCCTCGGGCTCAGGTTCCAACACTTGCGTCCTTTCCTCCTCAATACGACGTCTTCGTGTATACACCTGAATCCCCCTTTCCTCATTTGGTTTTGGCCACCGGAATGCTTCACTTGATGTATCATACTGCTGCTCATGTCTTCGTTCTTGCTCTGTTTCCACTGGAATTACCCCAACTATCATCTTTCTTGATGTTGCATCATCTTCCTCTTCCTTATCTCCCCCTGTCTCACAATCTGCATCTAAATTTTCATTAGCAAACAAATCAGGGAAGACATCAGTTAAATCCGTCGGTTCACCATAGAATGGTTCCTGCTCCCTAAATACCACATCCATACTCACAAACATTCTCCTTTCAGATGGACACCAACATTTATATCCCTTTTGCTTACCAGAGTACCCCACGAATACACACTTTAACGCCTTTGGATCTAGCTTGCCAACAGATGGTCTGTAATCCTTCACAAAACAAACACACCCAAAGACCTTAGGTGGAACCACATATTTTGTTTCACCCGTTAGACACTCTAACGGTGTTTTATAACCAAGTACCCTGGATGGCATTCTATTCATCAAGTAAGCAGCTGTCATTACAGCTTCACCCCACAAAAACTTAGGAACATTCATAGATATCATTATGCAACGAGTGATTTCCAGAAGATGTCTATTCTTCCTTTCTGCCAAACCATTCTGCTCTGAAGTACCTGGACAAGTTGTGTGATGAATAATCCCAAAACTGGATAAGTACTCATTAAATTCCTTGTTCACATACTCTGTGCCATTATCAGTGCGAAATGTTTTCACACAAGCATTATATTGCGTTCTGATCATATTATGAAAATCAACAAAGCATTCAAACACATCGTTCTTGTTCTTCAACACATAAACCCAAGTCACTCTAGTACAACAGTCAATAAAGGTAACAAACGAGCGATATCCATTTAAAGATGAAACTCCACTAGGACCCCACACATCAGAATGTATAACTTGAAGTGGCGTGTCACTTCTATTATTAGACGATGTATAGGAGCTACATGTTTGTTTACCATATTGACAAGCGTCACATACTAGACTCCCCTGGTTAACTTTACTATAAAGAGCAGGATAAAGCCTACCAAGGGTGACAAAAGACATATGTCCTAGCCTGCGGTGGTGAAGAAGGAATTCGTCAAGTGGTGAAAGGGACGCAACAGCTGCAACCACAGGTGGCATATTATTATCCAGATAATACAGTCCATCATGCATGATCCCCGTCCCAAGTCTTCTTCTAGTCCCAAGTTCCTGAAACAAGCACCATGATGGAAAGAAGATAGCAACACAATTAAGTTCATTTGTGATGCAACTGATGGATAACAGATTTATTGGGAACGAGGGAACATGCAAAACAGATGACAAAGACATATCAGTGCTACACATAATTGTTCCTGATCCCATAATGGTTTGGGAGGAGCCATCAGCTAATTTAACGGTTTTCTTATTTAAATCAGGAGTATAGTCAATAAAATTTCTGTAGGAACCAGCCATATGTCTAGATGCACCTGAATCTAATAACCATGGTGCATCAATGGACTTATCTATCACAGTGTGAGAGTTGTTATCACTGAAATTTGCTAAGGCAGCAGAGGTAGGCGCTTCAACAGTTGTCTTGTCACCTAGAGAAAGCCCCTTGAATTGGCACCACTTCTCCCAATCCTCAGCAGTCATCTCAACACTCATAGTTTGGGTGGTATTTTCATTGATCACCGACGTGTTTGCTTTAGCAGCAGGGCGTGTACCTCGCCCACGGTAGCCTCGTCCTTCAAGCCCACGGCCACGGCCTCTTCCACGCCAGTCCTGCCCTCTTCCTCTGCCGCCTCCCATTAACTCAGGGCATGAAAACTTCAAATGTCCTGGCTGACCGCACTCGAAGCATTTCTTCTCAGTTGTATTTGATCCCAACCTTTGATAATTTCCACCCTCTACTGCATAGAGTGCTGATCGCCGCTACATGATACCTTGCATCACTGACCCGGCTGCCTCTAATTTCAATCTGGTTTCCTCACTAATGATAGCTGATATTGCCTGCTCCAGTGTAGGAAGCTTTCCGCTACCATACAGTGCAGCCCTCCTGTTTTCATACTTAGAATGAAGTCCATTTAGGAAGTCCCTCACACGTCTCTTTTCCGTCCACTTGTTAAATTTCTCAATACACTTACCACACTTCATATCAATTGGATCAAAGTAATCAATCTCACTCCACAATCTCTTCAATTCGGACACATAATCCACAACTGATTTGTCACCCTGACTCAACCCCTGCAGCTCCTTCTGAATTTTACAAGCAAGCATCTCATTACCGACTCCAGAATATGTACCTTTCAGTAGCCGCCAAATTTCTGACGCCTCCTTAATCCTTTCCACCTGCTTAGCAATTTGAGGTGAGACTGAACTCAGCAGCCATGCTCTCACCAATGCGTTGGTCATCTTCCACTTCTGGCCTTCCTTGGAGTTCTCGTCAGCTGGTTTTTCAATTGCCCCATGTATATAGCCCTCTAGACTTCTTGAGACAAGAATTGTCTCTGCGTGCTCTGCCCAACTTGCATAGGTTTCAGACCCATCTAACTTCACCAGGGGCATTTGCAATGGATGAACCTCCTCCTTGACCTCTGCTTCTGGTTTTGAACTCCCTCCTTGCTTGCTCATAGCCTCGAACAACAATCTGTATTTATCATCCATGGCTTGCAACACCGCTGCAAGCTCCCCTGCCATGACTCCCGATGGAGTGGCATCCTTGTCACCCATCGTTGCAAACCTCTCCTTGATGTGCTGCTCTGACCTGGTCTTCAGCAGCCCAGAAATCCTCTTGCTTCAGGACCAAGCACACTTGTGACCTTTGGTGCTTCTTTCTCTGTTGCAACACAACAGCAGCTCCTGCCTCCTCCTGGACACAAATCTTTCCCAGCAACACCACGCAACCACCTCCAGGGAACACTCTCCTACACCTCTGCTTGGCACCTCCAGCCTGCTTCCACACCTACAGTTCTGCTCGCCTCCAACCGAACACAATCCGTGCGCTGGCTCTCTCTGCCGGCGACACCCTTGCCGAGGCTTCCGATTTCGAGCAGCCTGCACAAGGCTACAAGCAGGAGCACCACTCCCAGGTCGCACAGCCACCAGCTTCAACTCCAACCCGCTGCACCGCCTCACACCCTGGCCGCAGCTCCTTCTATTCGCTCCAGTCCACCACCAGAAGCACTCCTCTTCTCTCCTCGACCACAGCAAGGAGCGCCACCATTACCTTGGTCGCCGGCGGCGGCTACAACACCTGCTCTGACACCATGTTGTTGGATTTTGTGGATTTCTCTTCTCTAGTCAGGAAGCTAAGGGGGGAAGCTAGGGATTTCTGGAAGAACCTTATCTCCCGATTCATTCCTCCTTGTCTCAGTATATACAAACTACATTTACATTTTAACCCTTCTCACTTTCCTATTTGCAACTAACTCCTCACAACAATGTATATCGCTATGGAGTCTGCCAGCAGGTATGCTAGCCAGAGGAGGGTCCTTGGGATGATGGAGATGTTCCGTCGTCGCATCCTGGCGAACATGAGCAGGAACACTTGCAGCATAAAGCTAGCAAGCACTAGGATTTGGGCCTCCCAATCGTTCCATAGGCGCACCACTCCGGCCATCAGTGACCACTGAATGCACACAAGAATCATATTACAAACAAATTAGAGTACAAACGTATATTTCCTTCAAAAGAAGTACACACGCAACCATGAAGACAATATTACAGCCAACATGACAGTCAAATTGAACTAGTAAATTGCCCATATACTTAACCAACCTAATGACACATTCAACGTAATCTGCACTATTTCAATCTCGACCTACAAAACAAACCATCTAGACAATTTCTTATTGATATTTTAAATCTCTATTTAAGGTAGGTGCAAATGACGACACATCAGAGAGCTCTATATAACCTACTACATATTTCTTAGGAACAATAGAACTAATCATGTGAATCACTTGTGCTCGACTGATGTGTTAAGCTAGTAATTCTCCTACAACGCTTCAACCAAATATTTCAGCCCTGTTCGGCAATCCACCGACTCCCGGAATCTGCGGAGCAAGGAAACTGCAGCTCCGCCCGCTCCGGGAGCGGGGGTTGTGGAGCGGCGCGATTCTGAACAGGGCGTTCATGTTGATAAGGGCCCTACTTATAATACATTTTCTCAAGAAGATATGAGGCATTTCCCTTATGCTGTACTCCCTCTGTAAACTAATATAAGAGCGTTTAGATCACTACTTTAGTATCTAAACGCTCTTATATTAGTTTACGGAGGGGGTACAATTCTATATTATTTGCAGATGCAGAAAATACTCTACTACTGTAATTCAGCATATTTTTGATCCAAAACAAAGGGAACATGTACAGTTTGCTGTTTTGTGGAGCACATAATTTGCAATTAATGTAGTTCCTGAATAAACATGTAAGAGAGATTCACCTCAATGGCAGAAGAAGACACAAGGGAGGCTTATTGCAGAAGAGCAGCAGGACTCCCAATCCTAATTAGCTCGCTAAGTATCCATCAGACAAATTGGTCACCTGTGGTTGTGGTTGAGCAGCAAATTGATCACTTGTGCCCCCCAGGACCATTATATCAGAGGCTGCTGAAGAATGTCATTCTTGCCGAGCCCATTACCCTATTGTGAGCTCTTCCTCTTTGAAGGGAAAAAGGCACTGGCCGGCCTTGCTTTACCGGTGATTAGATGATTAATGGCTAGATTACCTGCCAAGCAAAGTACTAAAGCTCAACGAGAAGATAAACTAGTCGTTTGCTTCTGCAGAACCAGAATCTTGGGAAGACAACCCATTCTGTTCGAAGCAAGGCATAATTTTTAGTTTGGAACACGAAAGGTATATCATTAATTTGCCCCTAATAAGAAAATAAGAAGCAGAGTCTAATTAGCAGTTGGCAGGACCCAGCTTATACCTTGCGGTGGAAATGTGGACGCCGTGAGCTCCATCGGTTGACAACGTTGGATCCAGAGCTTGGTCCCCTCCGACTCGCCGGCAAAGGAGGATCCGGCCGTGCGCTGTTAGGGGGCCGGCGCGATAAGGGGGAGAGACGGGCGAGCGGGGGCGGTGTACGGATGGAGACCACACGGGGGGACGGCGCACGGCGTTGGCAGAAGCGGCGGCGGCGGCGGCGGCACTGCGGTGTGGTGGGGGAGGGGAAAGGCGGAAGCGGTGCTCTGTTTCGGCTAGACAGGGGATCGTCGGACTAGCCAAGAGCCGCTGGCCGCTGGATGGCACCTGTAGGATGTGCATACATTTTCTCGTTTAGAACTCAATCCTGTATATTTTGGAACTTAACAGAAATTTCTTTCACATGTAACATATGCTGTTTCACATAAAAATATTTACCATGACATTAAATGTTATAAAATTATATATCAAAATCTAGAATATGAATCAATGCCATCAAATTCGTCATGGCACTTTTCGCAAAAAAAATTATAAAATTCATTTTGGCATATATTGTTGTACAATGCATATTTGGTGATGTAGATATACATAATTTTTTTTTATAAACTTGGTCGAAGTTTGTGAAGTTGAATGTACTGCCAAGGCAATCTTCGGTTTTGTTTCGCCAAAGAAATTAAGCCGATTCATATCACTATGATTTAAAAAAACTATTATTACATATCACAGTAATTGCTTGTGTGGATGCCAGACGTGGCGATTCTTCTTTGAGCGGCAATGGTTGTTGCAGCCAGATTTTATGGAGAGGGTTCGCCACTTTTGGGAGTCGGCAGATGGTGTTTGCCACACCGGTCCACTTTGTGATGAAATGGATGTGTGGTAGCATTGCACTAGGCAGCTTCACCGCCGCCTTAGGGATGGGGAGCAAAGTTGGCAGAAAGGTTATCAAAATCGTGATTTTGTTGTACGATTCTACGACTTCATATAAAAATACTTACCATGACATTAAATGTTATAAAATTATATACCAAAATCTAGAATATGAGTCAATGCCATCAAATTAATCATGCATATATTTTTGTACGATGCATATTTGGTGAGGTAGATATACATAATTTTATTTATAAACTTGTTCAAAGTTTGTGAAGTTGAATGCATACTGCTAGATACTGCCAAGGCAGTCTTCGGTTTTGATTCGCCAATGAAATTAAGCCGAAGCCATATCACTATGATTTAAAAAAAAGTTTATTACATATCACAGTGATTGCCTGCGTGGACGCCCGACGCAACGATTCTTCTTTGAGCAGCAGTGGTTGTTGCACCCAGGTTTTATGGGGAGGGTTCGACACGTTTGGGAGTCGGGCAGAGGGCGTCCGCCAGATCGTACGGTCCACTTTGTGATGGGATGAATGTGTGGTAGCATTGCATTAGACGGCTTCACCATCGCCTTGGGGATGGGGAGAAAACGTTGGCAACAAGGTTGTCAAAATTGTGATTTTGTTTTATGATTCTATAACTTTACGATTCAAACTAACCCCTCTGATTTTATGATGTTAGTTCATAGAATCTACATTTCTACGATCCTGATAGTTAACATTCTATGATTTGCGATTCTATTATCGAAGCTCCGATCCGATTCGAAATAGCGAATCTAGCAACCTTGGTTGGCAGTCACCTAAAGTGAGAAAGGAAAGACTTTTAACAGAGGTGGGGACGCTAGATCACTTATATTAAAAATTGATTTTGGTCATTTCAAAAAATTGATTCCCCTCATTTAGAAAAAACAGAGTCACTCATGTAAAAAAACTGATTTCACTTCAACCAAAAGTAATAATTCACTCATTTATAAAAAATAATTTCACTCATTTTAATCAATTGGAAAATGGTTCAAAACTAAATTTTAGACTAATTTGAACTGTATCCGAGATTCATCTTGTCCTGAAGGTCTCGTCGCCAGAAATTCAAATATATAAAACATTTCAAAAATGGTATTTCAGTTTCAAAGATATGAATGTTCTAAAATATCGATAGGAAATTGAAGTGTATGGACTTTGCTGGGGATAGATCACATGCAGGATACTATTCTCTCTTGCGTGGGGACAAAAAGTAGTGTTGTGAGGCTGCTGACAAGACAAGCCGAATTGGCATAAGGGAGGAAAAATACCCACGCATCCAGAAGCATGTGTATGATGGATGCTTCACCAATATGTTCCGGAAGCGCTTTAGCTATATGCCAGTCAGCTAAAAATTCTTTTTGGGCCAGTCGATTTTGTGGCCGTCCGATTCTGCTTTGAGAAGTGTTTTTTTTTTGTCATTTTGGTGGTGAGTTGGGCTGCGTGGAATCGATTGACCCCTATTTTGGGCCAGTCAAATTGCTTCTTAGCTTCGTTTTTGCTCTTTTGGGTTGCGTTTTTCTTTTTAATTTTTCTTTCTTTTATTGGTTACTTTTTGTTTTTGTGGATTTTTGGCTGAGTGTAATTATATACATACAAATACTATATGATATGTGCCAAAATATCTTGATTATATGATTATTTTTGCATATTACAATAAAATGCAATTACGGTGCAAAGTTGTGCGCAAGTTTTTGTTATAAATTTTCTTTCTTCTTAAAGGAAATACCAATGGCACTAATTCATTCTTTTTTTTGGAAAAAAACATTATTTTGATATGGTTTTAGTCTCCATTTCATTTTCATTCTACTTTAAGGTTAATACCAATGCCACTAGTCATTTGTTCTTAGATTTTTTTTTTTGCAAAAGTTCCACTTTTCTATGCTTTTTCTTGCATATTTTTTAAAAGAGCAA